AAAACCAGAAATAACTCCTGTCCCCAAAAAAGAAAAACCTAAAGAAACAATTCCTGTTCCTGCAGAAGAAAAACCAGCAATAACACCTATTCCTAAAGAGATAAAACCTGAAGAAAGAGTTCCTGTTCCTGAAGTAGAAAAACCAGAAATAACTCCTGTCCCCAAAAAAGAAAAACCTAAAGAAACAATTCCTGTTCCTGCAGAAGAAAAACCAGCAATAACACCTATTCCTAAAGAGATAAAACCTGAAGAAAGAGTTCCTGTTCCTGAAGTAGAAAAACCAGAAATAACACCCGTCCCTAAAGAAGAAAAACTTGAAGAAAGCGTTCCTGTTACTAAAGAAGAAAAACCACAAATAATTACTACTCCTAAAGAGAAGGAAAAACCAGAAATAACACCTATTCCTAAAGAGGAAGAACTTGAAGAAAGAGTTCCTGTTCCTGAACTAGAAAAACCAGAAATAACACCTGTCCCCAAAGAGGAAAAACCTAAAGAAGCATTTCCTGTTCTTGCAGAAGAAAAACCAGACATAACACCTGTATCTAAAGAGGAAAAACCTGAAGCAAGTGTTCCTGTTACTGAACTAGAAAAACCAGAAACAACACCTGTTCCTAAAGAGGAAGAACTCGAAGAAAAAGTTCCTCTTCCTGAAGTAGAAAAACCAGAAATAACACTTATTGCTAAAAAGGAAAAATCTGAAGAAAGAGATCGTGTTCCTGAAGTAGAAAAACCAGAAATAACACTCGTCCCTAAAGAAGAAAAACTTGAAGAAAAAGTTCCTCTTACTAAAGAAGAAAAACCACAAATAATTCCTACTCCTAAAGTGAAGGAAAAACCAGAAATAGCACCTATTCCTAAAGAGGAAGAACATGAAGAAAGAATTGCTGTTCCTACAGAAGAAAAACCAGAAATAACACCTATATCTAAAGAGGAAAAACCTGAAGAAAGAGTTCCTGTTACTGAAATAGAAAAACCGGAAATAACACCTGTTCCTAAAGAGGAAGAACTCGAAGAAAGAGATCGTGTTCCTGCAGAAGAAAAAACAGATATAACACCCATCCCTAAAGAAGAAAAACTTGAAGAAAAAGTTACTGTTACTAAAGAAGAAAAACCGCTAATAATTCCTACTCCTAAAGACAAGGAAAAACCAGAAATAATACCTATTCCTAAAGAGGAAGAACATGAAGAAAGAGTTGCTGTTCCTGCAGAAGAAAAACCAGAAATAACACCTGTATATAAAGAGGAAAAACCTGAAGAAAGAGTTTCTGTTACTGAATTAGAAAAACCAGAAATAACACTTGTTCCTAAAGAGGAAAAACTCGAAAAAAGAGTTCCTATTCTTGAAGAAGAAAAACCTGAAATCACACCTGTATCTAAAGAAGAAAAACCTGAAGAAACACTTCCTGTTCCTGAAGTAGAAAAACCAGAAATAACTCCTGTCCCCAAAAAAGAAAAACCTAAAGAAACAATTCCTGTTCCTGCAGAAGAAAAACCAGCAATAACACCTATTATTAAAGAGAATAAACCTGAAGAAAGAGTTCTTGTTCTTGAAGAAGAAAAACCAGAAATAACACCTGTATCTAAAGAGGAAAAACCTGAACACACAGTTCCTCTTCCAGAAGAAGAAAAACTAGATATTACACTTATTTCCAAAAAGGAAAAACCTAGAGAAGCAATTCCTGTTCCTGCAGAAGAAAAACCAGCAATAACACCTATTCCTATAGATATAAAACCTGAAGAAAGAGTTTCTGTTCTTGAAGAAGAAAAACCAGAAATAACACATGTTCTTAAAAAGGAAAAATTTGAAGAAAGAGTTTCTGTTTCTGAAGTAGTAAAACCAGAAATAACACCTGTTCCTGAAGTAGAAAAACCAGAAATAACACCTGTTCCCAAAGAGGAAAAACCTAAAGAAGCAGTTCCTGTTCGTGCAGAAGAAAAACCAGAAATAACACCTGTATCTAAAGAGGAAAAACCTGAAGAAACAGTTTCTCTTCCAGAAGACGAAAAACCAGAAATTACACCTATTGCTAAAGAGGAAAAATCTAAAGAAGGAGTTCCTGTTCCTAAAGTAGAAAAACCAGAAATAACACCCATCCCTAAAGAAGAAAAACCTCAAGAAAAAGTAACCTTTGCTAAAGAACAAAAACCAGAAATTGCACCTATTGTTAAAGAGGAAAAACCTGAAAAAAGAGTTCCTATTCTTGAAGTAGAAAAACCAGAAATAAAACATGTCCCTAAAGAAGAAAAACCTAAAGAAAAAGTTCCTGTTGCTAAAGAACAAAAACCAGAAATAACGCATATTGCTAAAGGGGAAGAATCTGAAGAAAGAGTTCTTGTTACTGAAGAAGAAAAACCAGAAATAATTCCAGCTCTTAAAGAGAAGGAAAAGCTAGAAATAACACCTCTCCTTAAAGAAGAAAAAACTGAAGAAAGAGTTTCTGTTCCTGAAAGAGAAAAACGAGAAATAACACCTCTCTCTAAAGTGGAAAAACCCAAAGAACGAGTTCTGTTTACTAAAAAAGAAGAACCAGAAATAACCCCTACTCCTAAAGAGAGGGAAAAACCAGAAATAACTCCTATCCCTAAAGAGAAAGAACATGAAGAAAGAGTTCCTGTTACTCAAGTAGAAAAACCACAAATAATACCCATCCCTAAAGAAAAGGAAGAACCTGAAGAAAAGGTTCTCTTTGTTAAAAAAGAAAAACCAGAAATAACACCTATTCCTAAAGAGGAAGAACCTAAAGAAGCAGTTCTTGCTAGTGAAATACAAAAACCACAAATAATACCTATTTCTGAAAAGGCAGAGAAATTCCAAGAAATAGTTTCCATATCCAAGGAAGAACAAATAACTACTACTGTGAAAGTTGAGAAAAAACTAGAAGAAGAACTGATAATAACCAAAGAGAAACCACAAGTAGCACCTATTCCTAAACAGGAAAAACCTGAAGAAAGAGTTCTCTTTACAAAAGAAGAAGAACCAGAAATTATTCCCACTCCTAAAGAAAAAGAAGGTGAAAAATTAATTCATATTACTAAAGAGGAAGAAGTTGCACAAATAGTACCAATTTCTGAAGAATTTAATGAAATTGAAGGTATAGTTCCAGTAAAGAAAGAAGAAGAAAAACCAGAAATAATCCCTACTCCTAAAGAAAAGGAAGAACCAGAAATACCACTTATTCCTAAAGAGGAAAAATCTGAAGAAATAGTTCCAGTTACTGAAATAGAAAAACCAGAAATAATCCCCATTCCTAAAGAAAAGGAAGAACCTGAAGAAAACATTCCTCTTACTAAAGAAGAAAAATCAGAAATAATAGATGAAATAATTACTACTGTGAAAGTTGAAGGAAAACTTGAAGAAGAAGTGATTATAAGCAAAGAGAAAGAAAAACCAGAAGAATCACCTACTAAAGAACCTGAAATAGCACCTACTGTTATAGAACACCTGGAAAGTAAAGAAAGAGTACCAATAACCAAAGAAAAAGATGAAATTAAACTGCTTGCTAAAGATGAGGCAATTATTAAGAAGAAAGAAGAACCCGAAGAAAAGCCAGCAGACATAGTCTCTGTAGTTAAAGAAGAAAAACCTAAAATAATTCCCTTTCCTATAATAAAGGAAGAATATAAAGAAATAGTTCATATTACTAAAAAGAAAGAAGTTGCAAAATTAATACCAATTTCTAAAGAATATAAGGAACCTGAAGAAACAGTTGCCATAACAAAGGAAAAAGAAAAACCAGAAATAATTCCTTCTCCTAAAGAAAGGGAACCTGAAGACAAACCAGAACATGAGAAACCCGAAGTAAAGTTCTCTGTAAAAGAAATAATGGAGAAAACAGAAATAACACATACTTTGAAAGAAGAGAAGCATAAAGAAGGAATCAAACCTTCAGCTAAAGAAGAACCTATAAAAATGGTACCAATAACCAAAGAAGGAAAAGTACCAGGATTAGTATATAAGGAAGAGGTCGAACATGAAGAAACAGTTCCAATAACCAAGGAAGTAGAAGAGGAATTTGAAGAGAGAGTGTTTATAATCAGGGGCAAAGAAAAACCAGAAATAGTACCTATTGTTAGAAAAGTGGAAAAACCTGATGACAGTACCCATATGTCCACAGACATAGAAAAATCTAAAAAACTGGAAATAACACCTTCTGTTAGAGAAATAAAAGAAATCATAGAAAGAGTTTCTGTAAAAAAAGAAGATGAAAAATATAAAATAACTTATACTGTTAAAAAAGAGGAAAAGCCTGAAAATTTGTTACGTATATCTAAGGGTCTAGAAAAACCTGAAAGAGTAGTAATTTTACGTAAAGTAGATAAACCAGAAACATTACTTGCTACTAAAGAAGATGAAATAGCTGAGAAATCAACAATGTCAACTAAAGAAAAAGAAGAACTAGACAAATTAATATTTCTTCCAAAACAAGAAGAAAAACCTGAATTTGTCCACATAACGAAAGAAGAGAGACTGGAAACGTTGCTTTTTTTCTAAAGATGAAGAGATTCCTGCTGAAATAGAAAAATGTATACTTCCTCTCGAAAAAGAAGAAGAGCATATAAGTAAAGAAGTATTAAAAACAGATATGATGTTGGATACTCTTAAAACAAGACCTGATAAGCAAATAACTTTAACAAAATTAAAAGAGAAACAAGAAACAGAAATAGTTTTACCTAAAAGAGAGGAGAAACTTGAAACTGTAGTAACTCTAACTATGGAGGAGGATAAACAAGAGATAATAAGTGTAGCTGAAAAAAGACGTGGAGAAGTTATTAAGCCTAAGAAACTTACAGAATCAGTATCAGATACCAAACAAGGCAAGTCAATACAGGAAAGATCTGAAACAAAACTAGCCCCTATGGCAGGAAAAACTTTGAAAGATGAAAAGAAACAAATAAAAGTTGAATACTCGCAATCATTTAAAGATATAAAACATACAAAATATCTTAAAGAAGTTCTTGAAGATGCTTTTTTAAGAGCTGAGAAAACTGATGATGATTTGCTTCAAGATGATGAAAGTGCAAAAAAATCATCTGAAGGAGATATTTTATTTGAACAAGAGACAACTGTAGGTGTTTCTTCAGAGAAATCATCGGGATTCTCTTATACTGTTGAATCAAGAATGAAAGAAGAATCCAAGAGTATTGAGTTATATGAAAGAGAGGGGGCAGTCAAAAGTATTGAAGACTCTATAAGACCAGATGGCCAGACTGGTGATGCTTGGATTACATCTAAGTTATATGTTGAATCTCCAAAAGATATTGTACAAGTAACATATGATCACCGTGAAATAAAACAGCTAGTCAAGAGTTCCCAGTCGGCAGAGAAAATAGTACTGAAGGAATCAATTCAAGCTCTAGAACCAGAGAAAGAAATCTGTGAGTCTGATGATCATTTTCCTGGACTACATGGACCAGGACAATTTTCAATGGTTTCTGATAATGAAAAACTAGGATATCGCATACACCCTCCACCAGATAAAGATTCTTCTGATGATGATTCAAAATTTTCATTTCCAACTGAAATATACGTGAGGACCATAGTTAAAAGTGGTATTTCTCCAGAAGTTACCTCAGTTTCTGAAGGTCTTCCAAGTTCAACAAGCTCTCCTGTTTGGAAGAAAGCTTTGTCTGGAAAATGTGAATTTGAAGAGATATTTGATGGCGCTTTAAGTAGGGAAATGATAAAAAAAGATGATGAAAGCATTGACCGTATGGAGGAACTAGATAGTACTGAATTTATTAAAGATCCAATGAAGTACAGCATCCTTCATCTTAGAGAAACACCTGATACATACACATCAGAGAGGGAGCAGTCTATGACTGAAAGCTTGGATGCAATTAGTGACGATATTCTACCAAAAGACAGCTTGCCGTCCTCATCTCTAGTACATTCTAGAACAGACAGTTTCCTAGAACCAAAAGCTGGCGACGTACCACAAGAACAAGACTATGGAGCAAGGTCAGGAGACGTTCTGTTTCACAGAGCTGCAGACATGGACGTATTTTCACTATACAGTGACATTCACATGCCTTCTTCAGAAAAAAGAGATCAGAAAGGTTTTACAGTAACTAGGAGCTTTGTAGTAGAAGGAAAAGTTATGGAAAGCCCGCTTGTAGTTGATAGCTTGTCTGGAAAAACTGCCAGCATGTCATATTTTACAGATGACGTAAAACCTCCTGAACTACGTGTGGTTGCCAAAAGATTTAAAACCGAAGAATTTCCAAAAATGTTTGAAAGTTCCACTGAAAAAGACAGTACAAAATTTGCAATACAATATGCATTTGACAAGTCTAAATCAATCGATGAAGTAAAATCATCTTTTGCTGGCCTGACTAGTGATTCGTGTTTGAGTTTGGAAACTGGTCAAACTGATAAAGAAAGGCCAGCAGAAGAAGACGGTGCTCAGCAAAAAAAGTATGAAACTTTTATAATCCAACAGAAAACGTACACACCTTCGGAGGATGAGAAAAAAATCGAAGTATCAGGATTTTCAGAAGAGAAATATTCAACCGAACCTATTCAGTTAGTTAGTTGTACCTCACATACTGCAACTACAACTATCGTTCATACAATGTCCTCCCGTACCGAATTATCAAAAGAATTTAGATTAGAATCTTGGGATAAACCAATGGGTCTTCCAACACCACCAGATCCAATAGAAATTGCTGCAAGGACTGTATCAAAGACGTCTGGGAAGAGCTCTACTACTGTAAGAACTTCAACACCAAAAAAGATTTTAGAAAATGGAAGGAGATCTCCAAACGTCACTTTTAAGACTGCGCATTCTCCAAAAAGTGAGAAGACACTTGGTGTAGGAAAATCCAAAGTAGAGAACAATGAAGTATTACCGGAACCAGTGTTTCTGGACTTGGCTTATGTCCCAAACCATGGTGATCCTCAATATTGTGATGTGGACTTTTTTAAGAAGGTACGAGCGCGTTATTATGTGTTTAGTGGTACAAATCCCAGTAAGGAAGCTTTTAATGCCTTACTGGAAGCTAAGAAGAGCTGGGACGATAAGGACGCAGAAGTTACTATTATTCCAACCTACGAAACAGACACTTTAGGTTATTGGATCGCCCTCAACCAACAGGTTCTGGCGGCAAACAAGATCGAAGTGGCGCCATCTGCTAGCAGATGTACCATCAGCCTTCAAGATCACGAGACCTCGTGTGCAGCCTATCGTATGGAATTTTAAGCTTTCCCGATACTTTATGTTTTCCTAAGAAACTGATAAAGAGCCACCTCCGCTGTTTTACTTTCTGTAATCTATGTTGTTAATTTGTTCTGTCGATAAAGTACTAACATAACGAAACATATTCTCAGTGTTAGTTCAACATGGTTAGTTAGAGTTCATACTAAGAAATGTTGCTCTTTGTTGGGTTTATTTTTTGGAATAGATTTTTCTTACTCATATAATTTAATAAATACCCCAAAACAAATTTTATACATACGCGTATGAAATGTGAACTACTAGACTAAATAATAACAAATAAAAGTCGATCCTGCATACTACAAATATTAAAATCAGCGAAGTATAGGAAAGGAGCTTGTATAATTACCTCGAATTTCTTTAAACACCTCTATAAAGAATTGAACTTTATTAAATATGCAAAACCTTTAAACTAAACTGTTTGACACGCTTTATCGTGTGTATGGACTTAAATGTCATTTGTCTTGAATTTGAAGTGTCTTTATTAATGATTACGTCACTGTGATCTTATCAAAACAAATAACGTCACTAATAACTGACATGTTATAGTACCGTAGTGCTACCTATTGTCACTTGTTGAATTTTTCCTTTTCAACCGATTCTCCTTGTATAGTTAACTTCCAAGATATTTTGAAAGGCAAGTATTATACCTTGTCACGTCCATATATACAGTAGGTAGAAAACATTTAATCTGTACACATTTCTTCCGTGGTTTAACAAGCACTGTCCAGTTTAAAATAGAAATTTGACGATCCGCATCTTGCTCATTTTTAACTTGTAGTAACTTGCATACCGGAACCAATTTCCTGTTATGATTAGAACAACTCACGATACCAGGCACGGAATTTTGATTCGTTTATCATCATTTAAGCATTTAAAAAAAAAAAGACAAATTATCAGTCAAGGTAATTAAAGGTATTCGTGAGCTTTTATCTGTTTTAAAAATAGTTGGGACGAAGAATTTAGACTAACTTTGGATGGATGCTAATTAAGAATGTACAGTAATATAGACGCTTGTTGTTATTTACATCACGTAAAGATACGCAGTTCTTCCAAGAACAACTTCAGGGTGGGAGTTTCAAGTGTTTAATACAATTTGGTTTGTTAGTATTTCTCATACTCTGGTAGTTTTGTCAAATAATAAAATTATGTTAAGAAGCGTTTGTTGGTTCTTTGTGCTTTAGTATCTGTGACGTAGAAGTTTATAATTTATGACATTGAAAAATGGTAGAAAACCTTGTAGTATATTGAGTAGATGCTTGTTTGTGTATATATAAAATACCGGGGTTTAAACCAAATCTCACCAAGGCTTCCCAATTAATTTATGCCATTTCTGATTTGTCTATAATACCCAGTTTTGTTACTATATATATATATATATGTATATATATTCATGTATACGTTCCTTTGTTGGTTCTTGTTGTGAACATGGTGATAGTGTTGAAGGACAACACAGCGTTGTTATTGTTACAAGAGCAATGTATTAAATATTTTAGCAACTTTTGTAAATAATAACTAATGTATACTTTTTCATAGAAAGAGTGTAATATAGAATAGCCAAGCTAAAGTGTGAGAATTGTAAATGAAAGTTGGGTAAATTTAATAGCTTAATGTGTGCTAATAGGAAAATATAAACAAAATTAAGTTTAGTGCCATGCCATGGACTAGCCTTGCTCAAATGACGAATTTTTCTTGTTATTGTAATCAAAATAGATTAACCCTGTTATTGATACTCAAGATAATAAACCCCCTACGTACTAAGTGTGTTTTTTTGTTGAATTAAAAAGTCGTGCTTCCTTCTGTTATTTTCTTGGTTGTCACTTCAGATCATAACAATTTAGACACCAAAAACTTAAGCCTTTTTGTAATAACTTTACAGTTTTGGTTGTTTAAAAACGTTAAACAGCGAAAACAATTGACTTCTGTTTTTGTCTTCCATTAACATATGTGTTATCAAGTGAGCCTGTTTACCTGTGGTTCTCAACTTGCTTTAAAACCGCTATTGTAGGAAAAGCAGTTCAGCTTCAAGTCCCTAATCTTACTACATCGAGAGATGATTTATAATTTAAATTTTCCTTTCAAAAGATACTTAGCTTGTTTACTCTTACAGGCTACATTAATCTTCCGATTCACAGACTGAGTCGTTTAGTGTTCATTACAGAACCTGTAAAGCTAACCTTTACGAAGGTTGTGAAACATGGAGTCATTCTAGGCCAATATCGATCTCACTCGCTACCACAGTCGACTCGTCACCAGACATTGTGTTGGTGTGGTAAAACAGCACGTGAACCTACTACACTCTCGCT